GCATGGTGGCGCATGCCTGTAGTCCCAGCTACTCGGGAGGCTGAGGTAGGAGGATCGCTTGAGCCCAGGAGTTTGAGGTTGCTGTGAGCTAGGATTATGCCATGGCACTCTAGCCCGGGCAACACAGTGAGGCTCTGTCTCAAAAAAAAAAAAATTGATACATAATATTTGTATGTATTTATGGGGTACATTTGATATTTACTTTCTACGTTTGACTAAAGCCATATGATTGATCCCATGTTTAAACATCTGAGTTTTCATGAGTTACTTTCTGCTATAAACTATAATAAATATTTCTGAATTATCATATAGAAAAAGGATACTTAATTATTTTTTTACCATATGGTACCAATTAAAATAATAAATATCAAAGTAGGGACATTTACTTTGTGCCAGGCATTGTGTTAGGACATTCATGTTTCATCCATTTAATAATTCCAAAAAGCAGGCACTCTGACACCCAATTCACAAACGAGGGAGTTGAAGCTCAGTAAGTTTATTTAATTTGTCCAAAGTGAAACAGTTGACATGGGGCCAAACCAACTTTTAAACCCAAGTATCTGGCTCCACAATGATTTTACTCTGTCATAAGCCCTTGAACCAAACAAATATCAACACTATTAATATTTCACATAGGTTAGTGTGGTTAGATTATGCATAATTACTGGTACATAAAAATAATAGTTATCATTGTAGCTATAAATTATTGAGTGCCAACTCTGAGCTAGGCAATTCACTTACACGTAACATTCAATCTTCAGTTCACACATACAAATTAGGAACTGTGATGGTATAAACATGATAAAATGGAAGATCATGTTGACTACTGAGTTTCCCAAGGCCATACTGAAATGCCATTGTGTAGACTCAACTCTAGACCTCGCCTTCAAGTCCATGCTACATGTTAATTTCCTTGGTCCTAAATCAATGTTATTTTTGGTCTTATTGTTTCAAAAGAAGTTCATGTAAACTCAATCCTTTTTATCCATATTAAAGGCCACTAATTAAAATATTTAGTACTTCCAAATACTAAGAAATTCCTTTAAATTACAAAATTAACAGCCTGTTGACTACATTTTAAATACTCTCTCAGTTTCAACTTGACTTTGCATCAGCTAGTAATAGCTTATGTGATCTGCTGATTCCACTCTCTTAATACAGTATGATTTCAAGGGAATCATGTTTCAAACTGGTTGTCAATATTTATATTTTGATCACAGTGCATAAAAATTAATGATCAATTTAAGTTTTTAATAATGTATGTCAATCTTGAAGCTAAATTCATTAAAAATTAACCTCTACTATTAAACCAAGAAAAGAACAGACCATATGGAATCACATTTCAAACAATGTTGCATTCCTTTCCTTTCCTGTTTCTTTTCTTTGCTTTATTTGGCTTATTTTACCTTCATCTCTTCAACTGCTTTCTGTAATTCATCTGGAGTTTTATATTCAAAATCTCTCTCAAGATATTCTTCTTCAGCTTGCGTCATCCATTCATGCATCTCTGATAGATCTTTCTGAAGACTTACAGTTTTATCCAAACCTGCCTTTAAGGCTTCCTTTCTGGCATAGACCTTCCATAAAAGAAAAAAAAAAGCAAAACATGATTATTGACAGTGACAAAACATTATTATATTATTATTGAGCAGTCCACAAATAATAGAAAACTTAGATAGTAAAGATAAATCAAGAAGCACAAAGTTTATGTGCATAAGAAAAATAATTCATGGAAATTGGATACGGTTAATTTCACATAAGTGTGAGAATAAGATATAGCCATTTACTTGGCATACTTAATAAAGTGAATAGAATGCCCTATGATGATAATTTAGCTGTTTTGTGTGACAATGCATTTCTGTGATTAGAGAAAAACAAACTTTTTATAATGTTTCAGTTGGAAAAGTAATTTTATTGACACACATAGAAGTAATAATTATTTGTGTTCCTTGATACTATTTTATGATTTCAAATGTCCTAGAAACTTAATAGTTATATAGCTACAAAAACTTTCAGAAACCAAAAGGAAAACATGGAAAATGCATAAAATACATACTTGGATAATTTACAAAAAAGATAATAAATGGCCATATATGTATATAAAAGATGTTCCAAAATCACTTATAGTTAAATGATTGCAAATTAAAGTGAATTAATGCATTTTTACATGTGAGATAGGCAAAAAATAATTAGTGAAAGTACCCAGTTTGGGTATGGATGTAGGGAAATAAAAGGTTTCATACCTCTTGAGTGAAATATCCAACATAGCACAATCTTTTAGATAATAAATTGGCAAATATATTAAAAATGTTAAAGTTCATGAATCTGAGTCTACTCTTCCATTTTTGAGAGTGAATCATAGCAACTAAAATGTACAGAGTTACATTATTCAATTC